TGCATCGAGGATCTCCTGTAACTATGGCTCTGAAGCCCACACTCAGGGTATCTTCTTTTAAAGATCACATATTCTTGATTTTAGGCCTTCGTGGAATTCAGACCCTGTAGGAACTGTAGAGGAGGCCTCCTTCAAAAGCAGGAGTTGCTTTAGTTTTAAGATCTTTTCATGATGGATGCATTCACTTATTCATTTAAAAAATTTTATTGAGCATCTACTATATCTTTAGTACTGTGCCAGGTACTGAGAACATAGGCAAGAAACAGAATTCATCATCTTAATGAGGATGCCAGGCAAGTGAAAAAAAAAAAAAAAAAAAAAAGGCGGGGGCTGTAATAGAGAATGAGAAGGCAAATGGAGAAAAGCACCAGACCTCCAGGCGAACAACCTAACTCCGATGGGAGGAGTCGGGGGAGGTTTCTTGCAGGAGGAGGCGCCATACATGACTGACATTGGCCCAGCGGAGTAAGGCAGATTCCAGTGAGGCAGATGTGCTCCTTTCAGAATAACCTCGCACACAACTATGATAAAATGTGGACAAAATAGAAAGAATGACTGTTAGAAGGCACTGAAGAACGAACATTAGTAGACAAAAACAGAAGGGCTTCTGGCCCTTGGGAGGAGGAAGCTCTATTACTTTATGTCTGTCATTATATGGTTAGAAGACTTTCCACCTGAAGTCTCCCAATCTCCTTTCATTCCCTTTGCAGTGCTTTGAAATGTTCAGTTTTACAGGATTTACGCGTTCTTTGTTAAATTTATTCCTAAATATTGTATTTTGGATGCTATTACGAGTGGAATTATTTTTTTCATTTTCTTATTGCTTGTTACTAGTATATAGACATACCATAATGAATTTTCTATGAGATTAACGGAAAGGAAAATCTTTTTGACAACAGTGTTGGAACAATGAAATAAACATAAGGAAAAGAATGAACCTTGACCCCTTTCTGGGAACAGCTCTGTTCAGGAGAACTTTCTGTGAGGTTGGAAATGTTCTCTGTGCTGCTCAATTGTTAGCCACTTGTCACATGTGACAATTGAGCAGCTGATATGTAAGTAAGTTGACTGAGAAATCAAGTTTTATATTTTTCTTAATTCAAATTTAAATAGCCACCTGTGACTAGTGGCTTCTAGAACTAGCATGGTTCTAAAAGAAGGCATAAGAGAATATCTTTGTGATTGGAGGTTTGGCAGTTATTTTATAGAGAGGATATAAAAGGCAATAAACATAAAGAAAAAAGTTAATAAATTGAACTTAAGTGAAATTTAAAGCATCTGCTCATTAAAAGACATCTTTCAATAAATGAAATACAAGTCACAGATCAAGAGAAAATGTTTTAACATGTGTATCTACCAAAAAACCTTATTCAGAATATATTACAAAACTCAAGAAAGAGTGTTTATGATATATATCTGGCAAAGGCCCTGTATTCAGAATATATTACCAGCCTTCTACAAGTAAAAACAAAAACAAAAAACAACACAACTTTTAAAATGGGCAAAGGACTCACACAGACACTTCACAAAAGAAATTAAACAGTGAAATGCCATTTCACTCCCATGAGAATTGCTAACATTAAAAAGACTGACAACACTGAATGCTGACAAGAATGTGGAACAACTCTCGCGGGGGGGCTGTTTCTCTGTTTTCCGCATCCATCTCCATCATGGAAAAGGAAACAGTCAGGTTCCTGAGTGGAGGAGCTGGGATTAAGAAAGAAAGAGACCAGGAGACAGAAATAGATTCATCAAGCTGGGTGCTAGGTGGGCACCATCTCTCTAATGGATAGGCAGCAAGCGTCTGAGCCACGCAGCAGGTTTATTTTATAGGGTCAAAGGAGCTTATTTGCATTCTTAACTAGGCCCTAGCATTACTGGATTTACATATCTAGACCCACCCCTGCTGACACCTGGACAAAGGTTACTCTGCCAGTGCCTCGGGCTCAGCTGACAATTTAAAGAATGCCCATGTGCCTTCTCAGGCGGCCCTCTAAAACTCTAATTCTCATACACTGTGGTGAGGGTGAAAATGGCATGACCACTTTGGAAAACTTCGTGGTTTCTTATGAAGTGAAACATAGATCTACCATATGACCTAGTAATTCTACTCTTAGGCATGTACTCAAGAGCACTAAAAACACAGGTGTACAAAGAGACTTTTCAAGAATGTTCATTGCAGTTTTACTCACAAACCAGAAACAACCCAAATAACCTTAAAAAAGATAACGAATAAATGAATTGTCATATTTATACAGTGGGATTATACTGAGCAAGAAAAAAGACAAATTATTATTACATGGGTCAATGTAACAATGTGGATGAATCTCAGAGAATCTCAACATGCTGAGCAAAGGAATGCAGACACAAAAGGCTGAATATTGTGTGATTCCATTTCAAGAACAGGTTTCACTAATCTGTGGTAAGAAAATTTCAAGACAGATTGCCTATGGGAAGTGGAATGACCTGGAAGTTCAAGAACAGGCAAAGCTAACCAATGGAAATGGAGATCAGAGCAGTGTTACCCAAAGGGGGTGGAAAATGAATGAAAGGACACTTCCTAGGAAAAAGGAAATATTCTGTATCTTGATTGAGGATGGTGGTTACATGGATGTATAAATTAATAAAAATACGTTGAATTTTATACTTAAGATCTATGGATTTCTGTGTGTAAATTTTACCCAAAAGTAAGATGAATAGAAACTACCTTGAAGCAAAATGTGTCCATGATCATAGGTTTCCACATATAAGTCCTTTAGTTTATCAGTCAGTGAAAGAAAAGAAGACTAGAAAGACAACCTACTGAATATTTAATGTTTACCAGAGTCTGAGAGTACAAAAATGAACTTTTCCCTTGTTCTCAGAGAAGGAGAAGCAGATAAGTCCCACTGTTCTCACACCAAGAGAACTTCAGGGGAAAGCTTAGAGGGAGGGAGGAGGGGCAGGGAAGGCACCTCAGCGGCCTGGGCTCTGCTCTGGGGAGGGATGAAACTCTTGCTCCTGTGCCTTTGTTCTTCAATAGGGGTGCTTAATGGCCCCCGATGTGGCCTGCGTTATGCTGCACACTGCTGGGTTCCTGGGTCTGTTTTCCCACTCAGCTGCTGCCCAGGGTGGGTGGAAGCTGTTCTTCACAGCATCTTAGTCCTGCAATTAGAGAAGAGTGTGGGCCCCAGCAATCTTAATCACGCCTTTTCAAATGAGTTAAGCCCTTCTTTTTGCCAGGTAGTGTTTTAGCTTATTAGGTCACATGTTGCTGGCATACACAGTTCTCAAACATCTTTTAAAACTGAGTGAAGACAGAGGAGGAAGATCACCCTGAAAGACAAGACCACTTACATTTGCATTAGAGCAGAGGTCATTCAGCCTCTCTCTAAAGACATCTTTTAAAAAAATTTTTTGAATACAGGACCTACTGAATGTTTAATGATTTACTCTTGTGTAAATCAATGATCTTCAGGTCACATTTGCTGGGCAGACAATGAGATTTGTTAACCAGGCTTTTTGCTACAAGGAAAAGCTTGGGTTTCTGAGAGAAATTCCTTGTTTGATGCAACCCATACAATCTGATAGAAAAGTCCCTCAATTGGCTGGCTTACAAAGCTTCTAGGATTACCAATCTCTGAAATCCAAGTGGTTCTTGGTAATTTGGAGGTTTGTGTCTATGATCATATTTTCCAGATCTGTACATGGAATCTCTGTTCCTCCCACCCCATGGGAATTTGGTCCTCAGCAATTTATCATGAGTGATGGAATGGGTAGGAAGAGAGTTAACTGAAATGGAGAAAGTTACACACTCATTGAACACAGCTTAGTTTTTGATAGGTTCTGTTTGGATTTGAAAACATGTTCAGTCATGATTCTTGCCCTTCAGGAGTTGCTTGTGTGTAAGCAACTTTTGTATACATCTGGGAAGAAGGAGTGAAAGTCCATGGAATATCAGGGTATTCAATTTACCCATAAAAGTCCTTTAGGTTATCAGTTAAGGAAAGAAAGGAGGAATAAAAGGACAACTTATTGAATATTTAATGTCCTTGTAGGACTAATTGAGAGCTATTTTATTCATTGACTTATTGCCATTAAATTTCTCATTTGTTTCACACTAAATGGAATAAGGAAGTGGAAACCTGGGTTTTATTCCTGTTCCTATCACTGACTGGCTGTGTGACTCCAGTGGGTAGTCTGTACCCTGCCTTAGCTTTTGTGTTTGAAAAATTGGTATAGTAACTCTTGCTCTAAGTAACTGTGCTGGTCATTTATATATATTGATTTCAGAGAGGAAGGGAGAGGGAGAGAGAAAAAGATATAGAAACATCAATGATGAGAGAGAATCATCCATCAGTGCCTCCTGCACACTCCTGACTGGGGATTGAGCCCACAACCCAGGCATGTGCCCTGATGGGGAATTGAACTGTGACCTCCTGGTTCATAGGTCATTGGTCGATGCTCAACCACTGTGCCACGTCGGCTGGGCTGTGCTGGTCAGTTTTGAGAGTTGAATGGATAAATGGATACAAACAGCGTTGACAAATAAGAAACTCACCTCTGTGAGATAATATTGTCTTTTGTTCAGACAGTATGATACAGGCAGCGGTTCTAGAGCTGACCAAGAGCAGTGATCCTGGAGGATTCTATGAAAATACAGATTAGCGGGCCCTGCCTCTGGAGATTTTGATGGGTACGACTCAGGACTCTGCATTTTAAGAAGCGCTTGAAGTAATCCTGATGCAGGTGATCCAAGAGTCCCACTGCAAATTTGATGATTCCTCCACAGGATGTCTCTTTGCAGGAAGGTCCAGGGCCCTCATGTTGGAGCCTTTGCCTTGAGTTTGCTTATGCATGTTCAGAAGTGACGTCTCTCAGTTCTGATGTTTGTCTGCACACTTCGTACAGGGACTTGTTCTCAGTGGAAATACGCCGGCCTGCCCTACATGCCCCAAACCACGAGTCAGCAGGAGAATGAGGCAGCGTGTAAGCAATGCTTTCTTTCCTTTTCTCTGTAGCAATGCAGAGCCTTCGGAGAAGAGATTCAGAATGAACAGCTTTGTGTCAGACTTTGGGAGGCCGCTGGAGCCAGATAAGGGCAATGAGGAGTCCCGGTCTCTGTTTCACTGCTACATCAACGAGGTGGAGCACCTGGAGAAGGCCAGAGCTGGCCAGCAGACCACGGCCCTGGACAGCGACGTGCAGCTGCGGGAGGTCACCAGAAGCAGCGGGCGGCCAGAGGAGGAGCTGAACAGGCTCATGAAATTTGACATCCCCAACTTTGTGAACACGGACCAGAACTCCTCCTTTGGGGACGACGATCTTCTGATTTCAGAACCACCTGTTGTTCTGGAAAATAAGCCAGTTTCCCAGACCTCACACAGAGACCTGGATTGAGAAACATGCTCTGTAATATGTCTTCCTGAAGATGTGTGTGTGTGGGGGTGTTTGTATAGCAAGAAATCTTCATTTACCAAAATGGCGTGTGTGTGTGTGTGTGTGTGTGTGTGTGTGTGTGTGTGTGTGTGAGTGAGAGTGAGAGAGAGAGAGAGAGAGAGAGAGAGAGAGAGAGAGAGAGAGAGAGAGAGAGAGAGAGAGGAACTGAGACAAAAAGAAAAAAAGAGAGCCCCTCAGAAGGGAGCTGATTAAGCTGAGTTTTTATGCCTTTAAAGACATATGAGGCTCTGGGGGGAATAAAGTAACCTTCTCACCATCCTTCTTGCCGAGAAATTTGGCAGTATACTGGGCATCAGCTCTCTTGAGTGAGGGTTATCTTTGTGTTCTACGCTGGCCCTGCCCCGGCCATTTTCTACCTTTAGCAATTGCTCTCCTTCTGGGCTGCCGATCATTTTCCTGTCATGTGGGGAGTCTGGAATAGATGATCCCCACCAGCTCCAATATTTTGTGACTTTCTGACCGTGCATGCAGACGATGCAGGGCTATCCATAAAGCCGCTTACACTAGGGCACTGGGTCCTATTTCTGAGTGTAGGACCCCCTTCCCTGCAAATGTCTGCACCTGCACTCAGCCCTTCACTGAGCTCAGCTTTGCTTTCATCGGGGCCCAAACGCCCACCAGGATGTCAGGACACTCGTCTCACACATCACTGCGGACAACGTTTCTGCCGGCTGTGCCAACACAGCTTTTCTGAGGACCTCTGGCCATCCATGCTCAAACCAGGGGACAGCCCTGCCCCTCCTATCCTAGAATGAGTATCAACAGAACTCCAGTCCCCAGAACTGTAGGCAAGGTCATCACCTGAGTGAGGGAGGCGACGTGTGTGTGTCTCTGTGTTGGTCTGTCCTGTCTGGTCACACAGTGGCTCCCTTGGCCACTGAACAGGTGAAGTGCCACGTACCATGCAGTCTACTTGGCAAATGTGTCGGTGATGGTCCTCTGGCTAGTGTGTGGCTTCGAGTTAAGATGGTGAATGGGTTGTAAATTCCTCACTAATAGATATTCAGGTTGGCCTGGTACCGTGGTCAGCAAACTGAGTCTCGCAAGCCGCATGCGGCTCTTTGGCCCCTTGAGTGTGGCTCTTCCCCAAAATACCATGGCCTGGGTGAGTATATTTTGAGGACATGGTATTAGAAGAAGTTAAAGTTTAAAAACTGTGGCTCTCAAAAGCAATTTCCATCGTTGTATTATTGCTATTTGGCTCTGTGGACCAATGAGTTTGCTGACCACTGGGCTGGTACAACACGCCCCTGGTATCAGAAATAATTTGGTTTTATATTTCCAGGTTCCATGCATGGCCAACTGCTAATCTCTGGGGGACATATTCATTATGGATTTGTTCACCACTTGTCTTGCTTAAGTTAAAAAATAAATATGTTTGACTGCACAGGAATTTTCTCTGGTCCTTTGTTTTCACATATCCAGTGTTTTTTATTTCCTTTGTAAAACTATTCCTTGTTTATAATGACTTCTAACATCTATTATCTCTAGGAGCCTACTAGTCCAAGTCACATCAGCTTTCATTTAGGAATTGTTCCATCAAAAGAAAATCCCTTTCCCATAATGTCTTTTGAGGAAAATATTATTCTTTGAGACTCTAATGCTAAGCAGAACATGGAGTGAAATTTTTTTTTGTAATTAAAGCTGCTATAACACATTCTTGCAAATAGAGACCTGCTGTTTTTGATGAATATTTTCAGGAAAGAGAGCAAGAATAGCAAAGAATGCTGATTTTATTAATTTCTAATATGAATATTCCTCAGAATTTAGTTAACCAAATTAAACTATTTCTTTATTAAGACTAAAAGCTCTTCAAATGGTATTTGATTTAGAAGTAGATTTATTAAAAGACTGAAGGATATTTAAAAGTTGGAAAAATACCCATGACTACCATCATTTTTGTGAACTAAATGCCAAGGACTGGGAAGGGTCTAAGGTCTTACCCCACCTTGGCTGACGCCAGCCTGGCTCGGCGCATGGAAGACACAAGACATGGACTCCTGAGTCGGAAACAACGGATTTCCTTAGAGCCCAGCAGGCAGCAGTGCCTCATGCTCCTGTTGATTCCTGAATTCATTTCCCATTGCTGTTTGAACAGAAGATATCACTGTGGGGCTTAAAGAAACACAGATTTATTCTCTTAGGGTTCTGGGATGTGGACTCCAAAAGCAGTCTTCGTGGGCTCAGGTCACGGTGTGGCCAGGGCTGTGTTCCCCCTGAGGATCCAGTGAAGAATCCGTCTCCTTGCCGTTTCCAGCTCCTGGAGGCCGCTCAACTTCCCGGCTCCTGGTCCCTCTCACTGTGACCTCTGCTTCTCCTTTATGTCTCTGTCTCTGACCAGCAGGCCTCCCCCTTCTAACGGCCCTCGGATTGGTTACATTGGACTACCTGGGTAATCTCCCATCTCGGATGCTTAGTCAGTATAAGGTGATGGGTTCAGATTCTGGGAGTAGGACATGGTCGTGGTTGGGGGACATAAGCCTACCAAGCCTTCCATTTGATCCCAACGACTCATATCCACCCCACATGCAGAATTCACTGATCTCATCCAACGTCTTCCAAAGTCTCAATTATTAGAGCATTAACTCAATGTCCTTTATATATACACCAAATCTTATCAACTCAAAAGTCCCAAATTTCATCATTTTATTTATTTATTTATTTTTTAAATATATTTTATTGATTTTTATACAGAGAGGAAGGGAGAGAGATAGAGAGTTAGAAACATTGATGAGAGAGAGTCATTGATCAGCTGCCTCTTGCACACCCCCTACTGGGGATATGCCCGCAACCAAGGTATATGCCCTTGACCGGAATCGAACCCGGGACCCCTTAGTCCCCAAGCCGACACTCTATCCATTGAGCCAAACCGGTCCCGGCCCAAATTTCATCATTTTAATCATCTAAGTCAGATTCAGGTGAGACCCTGGGTATGTGCCATCGTGGAGAAAACTCCATCTGTGGCCCTGTAAACTAAGGAGCACAGGATTGGTTCCCAAATATCTGGACTACCTGGAGAAAACCCCACACAGACATGGGAAAAACATGCAAATCCCACACAAACAGTGGCCCCAGCCAGGGATCCGCATTTTCTCTGACCAACCTTAGAATGAAACGCCGTTGAACAAAACATTACTTGAAGACCTGCTTATGTGCGGTGCAGGAGTACTGGGACAAAGGCACAGAGCAGCCATGCTGGGCTTAAGTAAATGATGAACCTGTGGAAGGCTTGAAGGATTCTTTCTGTTGGTTAGTATTTATTTGGTGTATATTTTTTTTCTGTCTCTAACTTTGAACCTTTGTCATTCTTTTTAACTTTTAATCTATGTTTTCATTTTCACTGTGTTTCAGGTAAGTAAATGAAATATGTAAACCTATCTTTTACTTGCAAGTTTATTCCATCTAAACGTATTGTGATTACTAATGATGTTTTACTTCTCACATATATTTTGTGATTTTTATTTAATGTACTCTATTGTTCCTGCTTTGTATCACATAGTCATGGTTAAAAGTATGGGGTCTATGGATAATCTATCTGGGCTTCGATCCATCCCTTGATAACTGCAGTCTCAACCAGGATACCTAATCTCTTTGAAATTCAGTTTCCTCTATACAAAAAGGGGTATTATCCCACTCAAAGTTTGTGAGCATTAAGTAATACAATATACAAAACACTTAGAGCCCTAACCAGTTTGGCTTAGTAGATAGAGCATCAGACTGCGGACTGAAAGATCCCAGGTTCGATTCCAGTCAAGGGCATGTACCTTGGTTGCAGGCACATCCCCAGTAGGAGGGGTGCAGGAGGCAGCTGATCGATGTTTCTCTCTTATCGATGTTTCTAACTCTCTATCCTTCTCCCTTCCTCTCTGTAAAAAAAAAAAAAATCAATAAAATATATATATTTAAAAACCACTTAGAATAGTGACTGGCCTATTTTACACATTCCATTTTAGTGCCATTATGTTCATTCTCTTTTTAAGCAAGTATTTTAGAGATTACTCCTGAATTTTAATGAACATACTAGATGTTAAAAGTTAAAGTCTGTGGTTTAATCCACCCATTGAATTGTACAGTATATAAATTGTTACATATCTTTTATTCCCATAAGGTCTGTGGTTTTTTTTAATTGATTTTAGAGAGAGGAAGGGAGAAAGAGGAAAAACAAAAACAAAACCCAGCGATGTGAGAGAGAAACATTGATTGGTTTCCTCCCATATGCACCCCACTTGGGTATTGAACCTGCAACATGGGAAGTGACTGGAATGGGAATCAAACCTGTGACCCTGGGTGCACCGACAGCACTCCAACCAACTGAGCTACATCAGCTGGAGCCTATTCTTTTTAAAAAATATGATCTGTTCTTTTTACACGATGTCCTGATTTTATTAAATTTTCTATGATTTTTTTTTAAATGATTCATTCATTCTTATTTCGGGCTCTCTTTTAAATTGCTTCATACAATATTTTAGGCTCTGGAATACTAAGCATTCTGGGGTTTTAGGGTTTGCTTCTTCTACTCACAGTTAATTATTTTTTGCTGTTCTTAGTCATGTGAGTGTGTGTGTGTGTGTGTGTGTGTGTGTAATTGTGTGAGTTTCTCTTTAGCAAGGATTATTTTATTTCCTGTGATTGTCCCATGAACTCTGGTTTATAAAAGTTTCCCTAGAGAACAAATCTGAGTTGCTTATCCTTAGGCTCCAAGTGATTCGATCAATCTGGAATTCTGTTATATTTTGCTCGCAGATCCCTGTTCCCTAAGTGGAGTAAAACTAAGGATCCCACATCCACATGAAGGATGAGCCTAGGGATTAGCTTTTTGAAGGGAGACTGTATTTCCTAGAGACTCCAACAGCACCAGTTTCCTCGTCCCCCTCCTGTGTCAGTGGGTAGCGTCCTCTGAGTCTCCCTTTTTTTGACTTTCATGCAGAAGGTCTCAGTGAAGCAAGAGAGTGTATCAGGCAGGGATGCCTTTTCCTAAGGAACATTATAACCCTGATCACTATGTGGACTAAAACCCCTTCCCTCAGGGGCACGGGGCACCAGCCCACAGCTTCCTGTTCTGGCTTTAAGTTTCCTGTTTATTTTTGTCACCTGGGAATTTCTTTTTCCTTCATGGTTACCACATGGTTACTTTTGTTGCTGTATTTTATCCAATATTACTAAGAGTTTTACTTTTAAAAGAGACTCACATTAGCCCAGTTCACCACATTTCCAGAACTGAAAGCTCCAGTTCTAGAGTATCTGTCAGATTCTTCTCAAACATAGCACTCAGTATATTTCTCTGGTGAAAATATTAATCCTTTCATCTATTTTGTCCATTATTTCCTCCACTTGATTGGATATATTAATTATTTTATAGCCTTTGTTTGCTGACCCTGATGCCCAGGATTGCATTTGTTGTCTAATGTTTCTTATTCTCACATTATCAATCAGATAGTCTTGACACTTCACATGCCCAGCAATTTTTTATTATTCAGCAGACACTGAGCAAAAAATCCAGTGATACTACTATGCTGTCACTTTCCATGAGAGCAATTTCTCCCCTTCCTGTTAGGCAGGTAGGATGAAGGGCTGATGTCTCACTCTAGTCATGCATGGAGATGGGTCAGGACTAAATTGCAATTTTTAAAATAAATATTTTTTTAATTGATTTCAGAGAGGAAGAGAGAGGGAGTGAGAGATAGAAACAACAATGATGAGAGAAAATCATTGATCAGCTGCCTCTAGCACATCCCCCACTGGGGATTGAGCCCTCAACCCAGGCATGTGCCCTGACCAGGAATTGAACCTTGACTTCCTGGTTCATAGGTCAACATTCAACTACTGAGCCATACTGGCCAGGCCTAAGTTGCAATTTTTAAAACAACTTTGCAATATACTTGACAAAATAACTTTCATATACTTAAAGTATACAATTTAATATATTTTGACATATGTAAATACTCAAGAAATCATCATCACAATCAAGATATGAACATATGCATTAACCACAAAAGTTTTCTCGTGCCCTTTTGTAATCCTTCCTCCCCCATCCCTTCCCCTGACCAACATATATATGGACTATTTATTTTCAATATGGGCACCAGGGAAATTTAATGGGAAAAATATCTTTTCATCAAATATTTCTGGAATGATTACATGTACATATGCACAGAAATGAACTTTGATCTGCTTTTTATTGATCTGCTCTCTGTCACTCTATATTGGTTTGCATTTACAAGGTATTTGTATGAAAGAAGTCATACAGTATGTACTCTTTTATGTCTGGCTTCTTTCATTCAGCATAATTATTTTGAAATTCGTCAGGTATTGAATCAATAGTTCATTCCATTTTATCTCTGTGTTTCATTTTATGGATAATCATAATTACCTATTTATTTGTTGATGGACATT